ATGGCCACATTATAATTCACAAGAATTTTCATCATAACCTAACCTCTAACCATAACAAACACAACGTATGTATACATACACACATGAATCATTTAGACTGAATCAAATTTTTTTTTTCCATTCATTCATTCATTCATTCATTGCAACAACACGTAAAACATTTGTAGACAGAATTGGATCATCTTCTTTTTAAAATCATATCAAAAAAGTTTTTTGTTGTCGTTGTTGTTGTTGTTGTCATTTTAAATCTTGATTATTTAAATTATACTAATGATGATGATGATGATATCATTTTTTTTTTACTTCAAATGACGAATTTAATTGACCTTTCCCATGGTCAGTTTGTTTGTTGTTCATTTGTCATTTGTCCAATTTTTTTTTTTTTCGAATAAATAAACAGCTTGTCTTTTGTGTTTATGTCATATACAACAACAACAACAACAACAACAACAAAAAAAATGCAGCCACACCAAACAACAAATCAATAAACGAAAAATTTTATTGCGTGTGTGCGCGCGCGCGACGGTTCAAAAATTAAATTAAAATTCAGGAAGATGAAAAAATTTTTTATTTTTTTTTTTTTTTTTTTTTTGATTTCAGCAATTTGTCAGAATATGAAAAAAAAATGTAAATTTTTCATTTCATCTAAAAATAAAAAGAAAAAAAACGCCATGATTATAAAGTGACACAACACATGTCATAAAACTGATGATGATGATCATCATCAAGATGACAAAATCCAATAATTTTCACCATTAGCATCCGGTTTTTACGCAAAAAAAAAAAACGAAAAATCAACAGGTCCGAAAAAAAATTGAATATTATGACAACCGAAACAAAGTATTAAATTTCAAAAATTTCAAAATTTGTAAAAAAAAATAAAAATTCAAATGATCCGTAATAATAATGATAATTCTCATCACATTTGTTAGTGGTGGATTATTATAATCATCTTACATATCAAGTTTTTTTGCTTGCTTGCTTGCCTGCTTGCCTGCTCATCATTGTAATTAAATTCACAATGATCCAATTTATTCATTTTGAATTTAAAATGTGAAAAAAAATGATCCAGAAAATTGTATCGTCACACACACACACACACACACAATGAATGGAAATGACAAGTGAGAAAAACACAGAGACAGAGAGATATGACACCAGCAATTATTTTAGTTTTTTTTTTTTTACTTTTACTTTGTTGTCTTTTTTTTTCGAGAGAAAAAAAAGGTGAATATTATGTATAATTAATTATGGAATCTTTATGGTTTTATCATATATAAACTCGCTCTCGATTTCTTCTTCAAGAAAAAAAAAACATCTTGATGTCACATCAATGGATGACAAAGATTTACTGTTAACTTTAATTATTGTTAATGTCACAAAATGAGAAATATATGTCTATTTCTTGTTCATTCATTCAATGCACACACACACACACACACTAGATGAGTCCAATTTTTCAATTGGTCCTCATCATCATCATCATCATCATCATTATCAACACATATGAAATGAATTTTTTTGAAAGAAATAAAAAATTGAAAAACAACTAAAGCAACAGCTTACGAAAAAAGTCTGCATGTGCAAAATGGACACATTGCATACACAACTAACAACAACAACAACAACATTAATAATTTGTCTTTATTATATTCCGAACACTGTAATCGTCGTCATCGTCATCGTTGTTGTCGTCGTCGTCGTTGTTGTTGTTGTTGTTGTTGTCCGAATATATATTCTGCCATACTGGAATGGCGGTCAAACACACACACAACAACAACAACAACAAAAACAATGATGATGATGATGACAGCAACAAGTGTGTGTGTGTTTACCCGAAACATTCACATATTCATCATTGTTTTCAAGCATCTGTCTACCTGACTGTGTCCATCGTTTTTTTTATCTGTATCATTGTCGCGTTGTCGTCGTTTTTTTTTGTTCCGAGATTAGCGTTGATGATGATGATGATGATGATGATGACGGTGTTGGTGATGATGGTGAAAATAATTTTCACTTTCACATTCACTTTTTATTTGCAAAATGGAAAATAAATATGAGAAATCCATTATCATTATTATCCAGTTAGTTTTAAGTTAATTTTAAGTAGTTAATTCGTTACTGTTACTACTACTACTACTACTACTACTGTTATTTGATAGTTGGATATTTACAAAACAAAAAAAAAAAGAAAAGAAAAAAAAAAAACTTAATTTGAATAATAAATTAGCATCAATGGGGTTTTCATTTGGTTGGTTCGTTTGTTCGTTTGTAATCCGGTTATTTGTCAAACCATCCATCGTTATCTAGTTTTATGTCACACTTATAATTACTTTCTTTTTTTTTTTTTGGTTTATCAAAAGCATCATAATTATTGTCCATTTTAGTGTTATCTTGCTTTTTTTTTTGTGGATGCATTTTCCTATGAAATATTCACCATCATCATCATCATCATTATTTGTATAAATGAATAAATAAAGACTTTCGTTTCTTTTCATTGGTCATTTTATTTATCTGGTTACTTGGTTTGACCATTTTTTCTTTTTTTTTTTTTTGATTTTTGTTTGATAAACATAATTGTTTAATGTTGTTGTTGTTGTTGTTGTTGATCTCTCTTTATCGTTGCAATCAAATGAAATGGATCTATTTTCATTAAATTTCAGATCTAATACGACTATAATGATAATTGGTGGTGGACAAACGAGAAAAAAATGGCAGAAAAAAAATCATTGATCTTGATCTTGCCATCAATGTTTTGTTTTGTCCGTTTTTTTTTTCTTCTTTGGTGTGGCAATTGTTTTATCTGTAGACCAATGTTGGACAAATAACAAACAAATTAAATCAATTGCATGACTTGTAATTTAAAATGATGATGATGATGATGAATTGAATGAAATTAAAAAGAACGACAATAAATTCCAAATGGAATCAAATGGCAAGTAAGCAAAAAACAAAAATGAAAAACAATGTCAAAAACAATGATGATGACGATGATGATGATGATCCAAATTTCATTTATTAATTCATTCATAGGAAACAACTTAAAAACATATATAAACACACACACACACACACATATACAAATATCATCACGCATGGCCCATTATGTGATAATAATAATGATAATAATGTAATGGGATGGCCATTTTATTCATTTTGTTTCATTTAAAACCACCAATTCCAATTGATAATTTCAAATGAAACAAATTCCATCATTTGACATATATACATCTTGTATATATCCGATGAGAACATTTCTCATCATTCATTCGTTCATGATTATGAATATCAATTAAAAACTAATGTGAATTTATTGACAACGATTGCCCTCGAATCTATCCACCAAAAACAAAAAAAAAAAAAAAAAAATACAAAGCGGAAGAATATTATTGCAATGATGATGAAATTTTAAAGATGTAAAATTGATCATATTGTTTTCTGTTTTGTAGTAGTAGATGAATGAATGTGATAATGTCATCAAATGATAATGATAATGATGATTGTGACCACCACTATGACTACTACTACTACTACTACTACTACTACTACTTCCACTACCACTGTATCATTCAATTCCAACAATAATCATCACCATCATCATCATCATAATGATTAATTATAATCATCATCATCATCATTTATCATTAGACAAGAAAAAAAAATAATAAGAAAATTTAATAATCGACCAAATCCATTTTTTTTTTCATTCAAATATAAATGGGACATATCCGTTTTTTTTTGTCCCTTGTCATTCATTCATTAAAATTTGCTCTTGTTTATCACCATTTCTCGTAACAAAAAAAAAAAATTACGTGTTTTTGTGCGTGTAAATTAACGAACAAATGTTTGCAAACATGAGAAGAAGAAGAAGAAGAAGAAGTAGAATAGAAATTGGTTTCGTGTGAACAAAACAATGGTTTTTTACCACATATATTTGTTGTTTGTGTGTGTGTGTGTGTGTAATGTCATTTTTCAAGATCTTTCATCTACATATAATGATGATTTGTTTGTCAAAATCATCATAGACATATTTGTCTTTCGTTTTTGTTTTGTTTATCATTCACAAACATTTTTGTCGGTGATTATACCATATAGACAAACACATCGATCATCATCATTGAATAACATAGAGATGATGATAATGATGATGATGATCGAATGGAATCGAATTACAAAAAATAGTGCAACAACAACAACAACAAAAACATGAAATTCTAATTCAATTATCATCATCAATGTTAATCAAATTCATTGCACCATATGGAACAAATTCATGATTCAGGATGATTTGCAATAACAACAAGAAAAATTCATTTCCATTCCAATTGGATAATATTGTAAATGATGATGATGATGATGCACAGAGAAAGAGACACTTTTTTGATTTTCTGCTTTATCTTTGCATGTGTGTGTGAATATCATCAACTTTTTTTTTCTCCTCATCTTTCTATCTTGACGATGATGATGATGATGATGATTCGGATAATTGGTTGACCGTTAATTTCATTTCATTTTTTTACAATAAAAAAAATTTGCAAAAAATGAAATGAAAAACAAATTTTGTACATGGCTGTGCCTGCTACTACAAAAGATTTTGTTTTTCACCTCTATTTCTCTCTCCTTGTGTGTGTGTGTGTGTCTATGGCTTTTTGAGACAAAAAAAAAAATTTTACTTGCAGTTTCATTTCTTTATTATTCCATATCCTGTCATCATCATATGTCATCATTATATCTGTTGTATCAATTTAACATAATTAATATGCGACGATGATAAAATAAAACCTAGGTTTTCATCATCATCATCATCATTTGTATATTATAATAATGGTTCGATGCCCTCCTCCCCCACCTCCAAAAAAAAACTAATGAAAACTAAATGTGGGTGTGTGCATGTGGTGTTGTGGCTTGTGTTTTTTTGTGAATTTATTATTGATTAATTTTCAAAAAAAACAACAAACAAATAAACAAAACAGAAAAAATTACAATAAAATGGATGATATTTCATCTTTCTTTTTCATTTCATTTGAGCATTTCTTTTTTTTTGTTGTTGTTGTTGCTAAATATAAACAAAACAGACAAGACATACAGTGATATAAATTACAGATTTCAATCAATGAATTTTGGCTTCAATATTTATACGACTAGCCAAGACACAGAATACAGTACAGAATAAGTTTCGTAATCCATCAATGACATTCAGTATAGGATACAATTGTTGAACCCATTTGTTTGATAACTTTTTGACAACGTTGTCCATTACTGCCACCACTACTACCACCACCACCACCACCAGATGATCCATGATAATAATGATGTTGTTGATGATGTTGATTTGATGAATGTTGAAAAAAATTTCCAAAAAATGTATCACCACTTGCCCAATGTGAATCATCATGATGATCATGATGACCACCAAACATGCTACCGAAACCACCACCATCACCATCGTTATCATCGAAAAAATCATTAAAACTAAATGAAAAATGTTGCTGCTGCTGCTGATGATGATGATGACCATTGCCATGATGATGATTAAACATTTGAAAAATATCATCAAAATTGGCGAAAATATCCTGAAAATTTGTATTGGTAAATTTATTGGCCATATTATCGGTTTCACCAAATTGATCATATTGTTTACGTTTCTCTTTATCAGACAATACATCATATGCTGTTGCTATTTCACGAAATTTTTCTTCAGCACCAGGATCTTTATTTTTATCCGGATGATATTTTATAGCTAGATTACGAAATGCTTTTTTTATTTCACGTTCACTTGCATCACGTTTAATACCCAATATTTCATAATAATCTCGTTTATTATTAGCCATTGTTAATGTGAATAAATTCAATGATGATGATAATAATAATATCACATAATATAGATGCATGATTGGATTTTGATTTTGATTGAACTAGATATTTTTAATGATGATTAAAAATCAATCAATTATCGAGATTAAAACTTACTTTTTTTAAGTGGGAAGATGAGTTTGCTTTTAAATATTCGTAATTTTAATTTTAATTTTTTTTATGGATAACAAAACTGAAAATTTGTGCGCGATTCCTCACGATTTAAATTCAAAAATCGAGGTTTTTTTGATCAAGTTAAGATTTATTCATTTGTTTTGTTTTATTATTATTTAGTACACGTCTACTTAACGTAATAACGTAATGATGAATCATAGAAATATAAAAACACATGCATGTATATTGTGCAAATGCAGTGGAAAAATCATCATCAATTTGCGCATGTATCAAAGAATGAGAAAAAAAAATAAACAACACAGGCCATCTAGTGTTTGAAAATTGAAATACAAAATTTTATATTCTATTTAATCAAATTGAAAATCATCAATATTTATAACTACGATATAGGAAAAATGTCGATAATGTCAGACAAAATAAGATGAACATAAATTTACCAGTAAGTAACAGAAATGATCCAACAACAAGAAGACCATGTAATGGGCCAGATGTTTGTATATTCTTTTTGTTTATGTATTTGAAACAAAACGAAAAAAAACAAAAGAAAAAAAAATCAACAAGCGAATTTCTCATCAAATAATTTTCACTTACTAATGAAATTTTAAAAAATGGTAGCAAACCATTTTGTATCTGGCCTAATTGTCCAATAGTTGGAAAATCTTTCATTATGATGTTTAATTGAAATTTTAATTCAGCATCAAATAATATTCCCATGTTTGGTTCCAAATTCATATGTGATAAATGTGTTTCTGAATTTGGATTCAAACCATAAACACCTGATTGTAACCGAGGGTGGCCAAAAAAATGTGGAAAAGACAACGCAAATGGTAGGCCACCAAAACAGCCAGCAACATTTGTATAACCATCACAATCGATTAAACGTTCAGTATCATGACAATAGCATTGATTTTCACGTTTACGTATATCAAATAAATGTCTGGATATTTCATATAAATGGCTACGGATTCCATGTTTCCAATCGGTTCTAATCGGCGATGATGATGACGAGAATGTTAGAAAATGAAGATGCAAAAAAACAAACAACAACAAACAAATCTTTACCCATTATTAATAAATCGTAATGGACGACAAAAATGTTGTACCCAGATATCGATCGTATCGCTTTGTTCACCATAACCAAAATATAATGGATCATATATTGAACGAAAACGATTACACGGTGATTGAAATTCATCAAATGTACTTCAATGAATTAAAATTGAATAATTAGAGAAATTACAAAATACAAACACAAAAACATACGTTTTTTCCAATATTTTAACAAATTGATTTACACGCACTTGACCATCTGCAAATCTAGTGACTTCAAATGGACCAAATTCATTGCCAGTCAATATGCCCATAATACTGATGCTGTTATTATTTAATTTATAATTTCCAAAATTTGTCATCAAATTCCGGATATCATAATTAATGCCAACCATTTGTAATGGTTTACTAGCCAATTCAATAAAACGTAATATATCAATCTGGCGACCGATCAATATTTCTTTGGCTGAACGATCTTCAATAATACGTTCATTGAATGTTTGTAATGTCAGTACCAATATATTGTGAATGATTGGATTCAAAAATTTTATCATAAATTTTTTCATCCAATATACAACCCATGAAATTATTGAAAATATTGTCGTGTTCATCACTTTCATACGGGTTTCAATCGATTCGTGTGATAAATCCTGACGAAAATCTGTTGTAAAACGTTCTTTAAATACAACTGTTGTCGGTTTCCAAGCAACGATACGACGTTTTCGTTTCATTCTTTAAAATTAAAGAAAAAACACGTGATTACTTGAATCAATTTATTCAAAAAAAAAATATATATTTACTCAAAAATAAATGGTCCATGTTCCAGAAGATTTGGTTTCTGTCCACCAAGAAATTGTTTTCCATTACGTATTTCATATAGATAGATATCACAATAAACATCGGCTGGTAAATCTTGCCATAGTTTTAAAAACATACCACCTGGATTTAATTGCAATTGCCAATTTAAAACTATGGAAAAAGAAATTCAATCAATTTATATTCACCAGAAAAAAAAACAAACACAATCAAAATCATCATACCAAAATTGATTATTGGATCATAAATAATCAATGCAGATATGGCCACAAATAGATTGATGAATGCCAAACGTTTAAAAGTAACTTTTGGATCTTTACCCTTTAATTGTTCTTTCCATTCACTGATTTTTTGATCAATTTTTCTTTTTTCCACATTTGTTATCATCGTCATCATTGCCATTGTTATCGTAAACAAAGCTTTCATTATTAGTTTGATTATGTTTGATATGGCGTTTTTAAAATTCATCCCAAATATGATGTAATATTGACGATGATGATGGTAGATATATTCTGTTGATGATTGATGACCAGGTATATATGATTAATAATCGTAGTTTCGGATCAATTTCCATTGGACATAAACATGTTGTTGAAAATCATCATCGTTGTCGTTGTTGTTGAACAAACCAAATACAAATGAAGAATCGAATCAAAAACAGAAAAAAAATTCTTGATTTTGTCATGATAAAACCAAAAAAAAAAAAACGAGCGGAAGAAATTCATTGAAAATTCATAAGAAAAAAAAATAATGAAAAATTTCATTTCATTGTCAAAGTCTAAAACTTTTTTTTTAACATTCCTAGTCATATAGTAGCAGACTACTTATTATTGTTTTAATCGATCAATTTTACACACTAAATGTCGATTTTTTTTGTCGCTTCTCTGTTTTCTATCGACCATCCACCAAGGACAGCAAAACATTCCATCGAACATGTGACCAAAAAAAAAAAATGTAGAAATATGTATTGATTTTTTAGCCACAGCAATTATGAAAAACAATAAAAACATTGACAATCGATTGATTCATAAGAATGAAAAATGAAAAACTTTTCTCAAAAAAAAAAAAAAAATTTTTATTTTTCATGTAATTTATTTAAAAGTTTTGAAAAACAAAAAAATTTGAATAAATTCATTGCAATCTCACTTCGCCAATAATAGATATTGTTCTACTGTGGCCAGATAAAAAGTAAGCACATTAAGAATAATGTAATTTTGTCGTCTTTCCATTTGACCATTGAATGATGATGATGATGATGATGATGATTTTTGATTTTCACGTATAATCGATACAATTTCACCACTCAATAATGATGTTAAATGTACGTCAATACGGCACAATTGTCGTAATACATATTGTAATGCTGATATACCACCAGTATTCAATACTTGTAAAAGTTTATTATGCCAACGTGTTGGAAATCTTTTCTGTATTTCAATCTGTATCATTTTGATCAATAATTGTTGATTACAATTTGAATTTATTTGTATATAATTCAATAGCCGACATGCTTCATTTCGTATGATTTGATCATCCGAATGGCAAATTGTCCAATTTTTACAATCAATTATTATTCGATCATAAAATGTTAATATTATATCATTGAAATCTATCAATAGCCAATATAAAAGATTCAATTTTGTTTCATGAATATGTTTGATGGCACAAATTAGCTCTAAATCTGTATTCATGATCGATGATTTAATCTGATTATTGTTTTGTCGACATTTGTCCATGATTATTGAATTGTTTGCCATTGCTATTGTGGATCGATTCATGACCATTGTTTCGTACGAGTATTGTATAAACTAAAAATTCAGAATAAAAAAAAATTTCAAATTATTAATCAAGTTTTTTTTGACAACAACAACAAAACATACTTGAGATGATAATCGTTGAAATTGTTTTTCTAACCAGGCGATATTCTTTGTTTTCATCAATATTCTTAAATCATGTTGATGATCATTATTTTGATAAAAATTTCTAATTAAATTGGCAATTTTTTCACTAAAATTATGATTAATATTCATTCGATGGAAATTTTCATCAACAAAATTTTCATATAATTGTTCCAGATACAAAATTGATGATGATGATGGTGATGGTGATGGAAATGAATTTATCACGAAACTAATGCTAAAAAGCCATAATATCAATACGAATCGATTGTCCATCATCATCATCATCATCATTATCAGCAGCAGCAACAGCAGCAATAGTATTGACAATGACAAAACATTGAGAAAAATTGAATAATTTGATCAATTGGAATTTAATTGATCAAACAGAGAAAACGGATCTAAATTATTGATAACATTTGAGATACTCACTTGAACAACAAGATGATATACATTTTTATAAAGCAAATAAAAAAATCAAATGGTTATTTCGTAATCGATTAATCAATTAATTGATCATTTTTTTTTATTTTATTACAAAATGAATACTTGAAATCAATCAATAAAACAATGAGAGAGAGACAAAATCTATATCCGGGATCCAATGGATCTCGTGTTTTTTTTTTTTATTCAAAGAATTGATAATTGGAATAATGATTTTTTGAATTTTTGTTGTTGTTGTTGTTACCAAGAATTAATCAGTGTTCATCTTTTTTCACATATCAATCAATCAATTAACGACGTCCAGGTCCACCAAGAAATTCACTACCTTTTGTGTAATATTGAAATTTCATTGGAAATCGTTGTTGATTTAATAATGGTGACGATTTAATCTTTTTATTCAAATGGCTATTATTAAAGTTTTTCGCTATTCCATATCTCATAATGCCAACGATACCATCATTGGACATGATTGGTTCGGTTTCTTTACGCTGATGAGGAATTGATTTTGGTACACGGAATTGTCCACCACCACCATTACAATCATTATTATCATCATCCTGTGTATTGCCAGCTACCTGCATCATGACATTTCCATTTAAACGTTGTTTTGGCACCATTTTGTCTGTTGTTGTCGTTATTATTTTTGGGTTGGAAAAAAAACAAGAAGAAAAACGATGAAATTAAATTTGAAATACACACAGACACACACAAAAACAACAGAAATGAAATGAGAAAAAATTTAGATTAAATTTACCCGGAAATATTGACTTGCATTCAGTAAATCTTGTTTAGTTTATTCTTGTGGATAACAGACAAAATATATTTGATTTAAAAGTTTGAAAAGACAAAAATCTTTTATTTTTTATTCGATTTCATTACAGTTTTGTTTTTTTAGTTTAGTTCAAATTCAATCAATTATCATTAATATATATTCCGAGATTATGACATTTTTAATGGCGAATAAGAGATGATTGGAAACAAAACGAAAAAAAATTTTATTGCTGATTTGTCGTCGTTTATTATTGGCGCTATTGCTAGTTCATCATTTTTTTTATATTTTATGAATAAAATTTGTATTTTCAAAACTAATCAATACAACGATGATGATGATGATGATGATGGTGGTGGTGGTGATTGAAACAAATTCAATTTTTCTCACCAAGAAATGATTGACAAACTTTCAGGTGTAGTAGTAGTAGTAGTTTAGTGATTAATTTGGTTTTTTTTTGGCAAATTTAAATTAGAATACATTGTGTGTGTGTATGCGTGCGTCTGGTGTGTGATTTCGGGTAAATTGGGGGACAAAGAAAAAGAAAATTTTTTCTGTTTTTTCAATTTTAATTTCATTTTTTTGCTGATTGATAATTTCGATACATCATCATCGTCCAAGAAATTCGGATCCCATTTTTTTCTGTGCCATAAAATATGGTGATGCTAGTATCGATAATTGTGGTGCTGATAATAATAATGTTGTTGTTGTTGTTGTCGTTGCTGTTGCGATGGTTGCTGCTGTCCAGATAATAGATGATTATTATCCAAATAATAGCTACTGCTAAACGATGGTCGTCGTATTGCAGCAATTATTGAACGTTTTTTACCCAAAAATTCTGAACCCATTCTTTTTCCTGAATTTTTAGTAAATTTAGTATTTTAGCAATTTTGTTTAGATTTATTTTCAGTGTGTTTTTTTTGTGTTTAGAAAAAAAATTCAACTCTTTCAATTCTGTGTGTGAGAATTTTTTTTTTCTATGAAAATATTCAATAAGAGAAATACATACCAAGATAATCGCTACTTTGTAATCGTGATGCAAGATAATTATGCAATACATATGGTGACATTAACCGTATGGTATCGATGGATGAACGATAATTACGAATAGTTTCATCTGTACCACCACCACCACCACCACCAATGCTACCAGAATTTGTTAATGCTGAAGCACCAGATGAAGCAGCAGCAGCAGCAGCAGGTCGTATACTGTAAAGTAATTCTTCTTGACTTAGATTATTATTATTATCGCCCGATAATGATGATGATGATTGTGATTGATCTTTTTTTTTGCAAGAAAAAATCAATCAAATTTTTATCGATTTTTTTTATTGATTAAATGCAAAAACTTACCGGCAACATCAGCTTGATTGTTATTGTTGTTAATGTTATTAGACGAGACTGTAACACCTGCTGCTGTATTGGTGTTCCAAGCACGTGCATCATTTACATTGAATAAATTACCGGCTATGAGCCAAATAAATACAATTATATGAATAAAACGATATCGATTGGCTGTCAAAATCATCGATGATGATTTTGGTGATGATGATGATAATGATGAAACGATTGATGAGATTTCCATATCAGAATTTCTTTCTGTTATTTATACACTTTTTTTCGGCCAGGTAAAATGACAATTTGTGATTGATTGATTTTTGAATTTGATAGCTCACAATGTCACAATGTAATTGTATGTTGTGACAATTTCAAATTTTTTTCACATTAATACAAATGAAGATACTGAGATCATCGGATGAGAATGAAATCGAAGAAAAACCAAAATTTTGAAAATGATTTGACAAAATCAAAGGAAATGACGTTAGCTTTTATAGCCATTTTCTATCTGATACACCCACTCACTCTCTCTCTCTCTCTCTCACACACACACACTCCTTCTCTATCTATTTTAATAGATTACAAAATGGATGCGTACAGATAATGATGATGATGTTCGTTGCGCAGAATTTCGTTTCAGTAGAAAATGAAAGAAACCATAACATTGAATTCCAAACATATAAATGGGCGTTTTTATTCCACTAGACGTAGACGGAACCATTTTACCTTTGAAAATAATTTCTGTGTGTGAATCCGGTTTCATCGTTGCATGATAATGATTTAAAATGCAGAATTTTACAAAATATGTTGATTAAAATTAAATCAAAAACGTGTCTTTAAACGTTCATATTAATATTCCAGAATTTTAATATAAAAATTTTTTTTTGTGGATTATGGATCCTGAACACTGAATGAATCCGAATATTGTTCACGCAATGTCATCGTCACAGGACAGAATTTTAATGATCTTAAACATGAGATTGACACGCTAGGACATCACGACATTTATTCATGACCCATGAAAGCAAAATTTTCAAGAGTCCGGAAATTTTTTTTTCAATCATCATTTATTTTAAATTTCTTTAAAAAAAAAAAAAAAAAAATTAAATCTACAAATCGCCTCAATCAATTACCGGTTGTTTTTCCGTTTGTTTACACTTTATTGTAACCATTCAGGGTTCAATTCTTCAAATCCATCGACTAAATTTAATTGAATGAGAAAAAAAAATTTAATGATTTTTTTTCGCCCCATCCGTTTGTCAATTTTCAATGATGATGAAAATGATTGATTGAATTGGACGATAGAAGAAGAAGAAGAAGAAGAAATGGGAAGCAAGAAAAAAAAATTTCCGTTAGATAAACATTGGACACATGATTTATTTTTTTTACAACAAAATTTCTTTTTTCCTTGTTTGTTTTTTTTTGTATCGATTTTACCTTTTTCGATTTTGTCAAATTCTTTGAAACTAAGGTGAAAATAATTCTTTCTTTATTTTTTTCATCCATTGATAATTTTAATTTGGCTATATGGACCAGATTTTTTTTTTTTTTTTTGATCGCCAGAATGATCGATCATGTCCATCATCGACATGTGATCAATTCTAATCAACCAAATTGTGTGATACTTGTTTGGTGTGAAATTCGATTCTAATAGCGAATAACAGAAAAACGTCACATGTTCGGTTTTATTCGTTCATGTGAATCGTGATTTTTAGAGAGATAACGAAAAAAAAAGAAAAAAAAATTTTCAACAACCAAAACATTAACTGTTCAACTTGACATTCACGGTATTCTGGCCATCATCCATTTTCTCGTTGTTGTATGGTTCATCACATCACAGGTTACACACACAAATCTGAATCAAGAAAAATTCTCACAGGCAATAATTTATCATCATCATCATCATCATAATAATTAAAATTGAATTAATTTAAACAAAATGATAAAAAAAAATTTCCTGAATGATGACGAAATTTTTTTTTTCTTTGACCCCATTCAAAAACATACACAAATTACTTGTCCACACGAATTTTCTAGAATCAAATGAAATGCAACAGCAGCAGCAGCAACAACAACAACAACAACAACAATGACACACAAACAGAATTTTTGGGAGATGAAAAAATTTTTTTTTGTTTTGTTTTATTCCATGAATTGTTTACCAATTCAAATCAATTCTCTCTGTTTGTGTGCTGTTCAAGAATGTATGCCATTTTTTTTTCTTCATTTCATTCACATTTAATAAATATGTGGAAATGAAAGTTTGTTATAATTTTTTTTTTCATTTTCATTTGTCATTTTTTTCCAAATAATAAAAAATTATTTTGACAAAATGAATAAATCCATACAAGTTTATCATCATCAATTGTGTTGTTGTTTTTTTCCATCCATTCATTCATTCATTCATGGGCCGGAATTTGAAACACAGAACAAAAAAAAAAAGAAAAACATGAATTTTCCATTCCCATTGACACACAACAACAACAACAACAACAATTCTGTAGAATAAAAAGAAAACGGATGTTAATGATTATATAATGATGATCATCATTTATGATAATTTCTGTTTTTTTTTTTTTAATAATGATCATGTTGATGATGACTGATTCGTTCCATTCATTCAATTATTGTAAAGGTGTGTGTGTTTGTGTGTGTATGTGTTTTTATATAATTATTACGTCATCTATGAACAACTGCTATAATCATTCATTCATTACTTTATCCATCGATTATTGAATTGGAATGAAGATCGATGAATGATAAAAACAAAAAAACGAAAACGAAAACGAAAAAAATTTGTTTTTTTGTCATACCAAATCTAGCGTGTGTAAAAAAGGCGTTTCCAGATTTTTTTTTTTTTCGCTTTCCATTTCTCCCGAAAAAAAACCCGAATGTAAATTAATTTTCTTTCTTTTTTTTTGTTGTTGTTTTCGACAACAAACAACAACAACAACAACAACAAATTGACCAGAATATTTTTATTATTATAATGTACAAAATGAAAAAAAAAATTCAATTTGAGATTTGAATGTGAGAAAATGAGAATTCCAATTCAATACATTATTATTGGGTCATTGAATTGAATTTGTGTTGAATCCAATAAACGAAATCGGTCCACTATATAATCGGTTCGCGTGTGTGTGTTTTGATGTTTGATCTGTTTGTGTGTGTGTACAATCGAGTCATAAAAATAATTATTATTATTATTATTATTTGTCCCCAAAAATAAGAAAAACGAAAACTTTTTTTCATTTCAATTTCGTTATTTTGATCGAAATTCCAAATCGAATCGGTGAAACAAAACAAAACACACACAATAATCAGAATGAAAAGAAAATCATTTCCAGCTAACTAACAAGGATACTGGATCTCTACTAAATTAATACACAAACGTTCATTCAGTTTGCCATTTATATGATGATAACGATGACGATGATGGTATATATTTACAATGGATGTAAACCGAAAACATAGAACAAATATAAAACGAAAATACCGATTATTCTAGTCATAGTAGTAGTTGTAGTTGTAGTTGTATATATAAAAATTAATGTCCGAATAAAGTTTTTTTTTCTATTCTAATAATTAAATTACAGTCGAAAAATTTTACAATTTGAAAAATACAATATGAAAAATTATGATCCATTTTAATTTGTGAGAAATGGTAGCAAAAAAAAAGAAAAGAAAAGAAAGAAAAACTTGAGGATTAATTTTATTCTTTATGGATTCTGTATTTCTGTTTTTTATTTTGTTTTGTTGTTGTTGTTGTTGTTGTTGTTTCGCTCACTTAATTTTGTCTCTATGTCATAAATTTCCTAGATTTACTGGAAATATTCCTGTAACAACAACAACAACAAAAACATCGGAACAATGATTAATGATAGTCTAAATGACGTGTGTTTGTTTTTTTTTTTTCGGTGAGAAAAACTTGATTTCCTATTCTAACAGGAATCCAAACAAACAAACACGAAAAAAAAATAACCGACCGACTTTATTTCACAATTTAGGATTAATTATCATCTCACTTTCATCTACAAATGTCTTTGGGTATTCTAATTAACCAAGAAAATAAACATAAAAAAGGATATAATGGCGATGATGATGATGATGATGTAGAAAATTCAAAAAAAACAAAACAAACGAGTAAACACAATTAATAAATTGAAATCATAATCGGTAATTGTTGTGTTGGTTTTTATTCAGATTTTGCAAAAAAAATTGGCAGCATCATCAGGATAGAATAGAATTTATTGTGGTTTTTTTTCCAGTGAAAATATGTGTGATAATTTTGTTTTCTATCTGAATAGAAATAGAAATAGAATTCAACAACAACAACAACAACAATGATAATGGTGAGATCTACATAAAATCAGTTTGTTTGTTTGTTTTCTTTTTTCATTTGTTTTTGTCATTTGTTCATTTTCATTTTGTTGTATTAGACACTATCATCGGATTGTTGATCGTCTTGTTGTTGTTGTTGTTGTTGTTGTTTTGATTGTTGATTCTGTGCAGATTGTGATGACCATTGTTTAGCAATAATAACCTGCGCACATGGTGTACAATAAATATTTTCTTGTCCATTACCATCACCATCAGCATTATCATTATTATTATTATCATCATCATCAATCAATGGTACAAAACCTTTACCACCCAATTCAGTAGAACAATCTTTACATTTGAAACAGGCTTGATGCCATTTATGATTACCATGTGTGATCATTTTTCTTCCAGTTGATCCTGATATAAAAACAAAAAAAAAGAAGAAAAAAACATTATCATGATGATGATGATGATGATGATGATTGATGATAGAGAGAAAAAAATGAACAAACCTATAATTGGCAGTTTACAAATGTCACATTTAGGAGCAAATAAATTAGCATTACATTCACGACAATATGGCCGATTATCATGTGATGTGAATGGAATGTTTGACAATTGTTTTTGACATTCAACACAACGGAAACAGGATGCATGCCATGGTTCATCACGATATACAATACCATCATTGATAATAATCTGAAGAATGGAAAAAAAATGATAAAAAAATTCAAATAAAGAATGATATGGGAAAAAATGGAATCATCGTAACAACATACCTCACAGCATTTAATACATCTGGTTGCAAACACGTTCTTGTAACATTCTGAACAATAGATATCATCATTTTTCTGTAAAAATGTTTTCGTACCTATTGGTGTTTGACATTTTTTACAACAAAAACAACTATCATGATATAGTTTGTCACGAAAATCTAGTTTTCTTTGTCCTTTGAATAATGAGGAGGAAACAAAAAAAATTTTCCCATGAATAATGAAAAACAAAACAAAAAAAAAATGAACAAGAATTAAATAAATTTTGATTGATCATGACATTGATCATGTTGATATCAAAAACGTTCTTACCTGGTTCAAATATCTGTTCACATTTACAGCAACGCGGTGCAAAAGTATTATCATAACAATTTGCACAGAATATCCGATCAGAACGTGAACCAAATGGTTTATCAAATAAATCAAATTTACATTCACTACAAACAAAACATTTTTCATGCCAATGACGATCATTGAATGAAAGATCCTGAAATTTTCAATTTTTATAGATTAGATCATCATCATCATAATCATAATCATAATCATCATGATCAGCACTTACTTTTGTATTCACACCAATTGGTTTTTGACATTCTTCACAAACATTACTATGTCTTTGTTCATAACAATCGATACACATTGGTTTACCACCAACATTATCATTATCATTACCATGATGATCAACATCATCACTTAATGCATAACGTGCCGTTGTTAATGATTGTTTACAATAAACACAATTAAAATGTTCCATATGCCATTTTTGTGTTGTTGATGGATCTTTTATATATTCATTTGCCATTATAAGCTTAAAATATTAAAATAATATATAATTAGCACGAAACGAAACAGAAAAAAAATCAATCAATTAGCAAATTTTTAAACAGCAGAAAAAAAAAAACATACGAGCAAAACCAATAATTTTTCAATTGATACACACAAAAAAAAAAAACAAACTCATCATCATCATCATCAACAACACATACCACTCGATCGTATTTAGACAACAACCTAATCATGTGTGTATGTGTGTTTGATAAGTAAACAAAACAACAATATACAATATATCAAGGTGTAATACATACATACACACATGATGATCATATTTCAAGGTAAAATATATCTATAACCATATCTATATGCACATTCTATTAATGGCGTCATCATCATCCATTTTCATTATTATGGACGGCTTTTTTTCTTGATTATCATTCATTCATTCATAGAATGTCTATGTGTTTATCTTGTTGAAATAATCTGAATGGCTAGCAGACTAGCTGACTGAATGACTAACACTCGTTTAAGATGATGGCCAATAGACATGAAGAAACAAACACCACTATGTATACATGCATGTTTTGTGTTGCTATGGTATATGGCTATACATCTAAACCACCACAGTAATCTCACATATGAATTGAACAAAATTTTTCATTTCAATCAATCGATTAATTGATTAATTGATTATAAATAAATTGAATAAATAAACATATTGTTTATACCGTTGAATTATGATCATTGATGCAAATATTGCCATTTAATGATGATGATGATGATTGTTTTTGTTGTTGTTTCAATGATAATAATGAAAATGGATGATGATCAAACATTGTTTTAACCATTGTTGTTTTATATGAATTTTTTGGTAATAATTTTGTCATCTTTATCATTGATGATTTTTTATCATCATCAACAACAACAACAACAGCAGCAGGATCATTATTTTTATGATGATTTGATTTAATTGAATTTTTTTTCATAATTTTCTTGAAAAATGATTGTTTTGGCACAGTATTGTTGTTGGTGGTGGCGGTTTCAATTGTTGTTGTACCGTTGATTTTTGAAAATTTATTCAAAATTTCATCACCACCACCACCACCACCACCATTACCACCATCGCCATTAGCCATATCATGTTTAGATTTTGTCGATTTAGATTTGGTTTTCTTCATTTTCCATATGGAAAATTTATTTTTCATTTTATCAAATTTATTATTTTCAGACATTTTATTCCACAATGGTGAAAAAAAAATAAATCAAAATTCGCTGTGTTTACGTATGCGATGAATACACAAAGTGAATGAAAAAAAAAATGAAAACCAAAAAGACAAAAGAAATTCTTCGTCTTTTAATTTTTTCCACAACAAACAAGAAATAAAAAACAAAACCTTGCAAATGACAATAAAATCAATTATGTTGATTAAAATAAAAAACAAACTAAACAAAAACACAAAATGAAATTATGTTGACTGACTGAATGAATGACTTACATCAATAATAAATCTTCAATGTCAACATTTTTTTTTAGTCTTAAAAAAATTCTTCAAATTCATTCTTTCAATGTTTTTATATATATAGAATCTGTTTTTTTTTGTTTCATGTGTCATTGATGCTAAAGAATATTCTGATGGTTATAATTATAATCATTTTGGTTGCCAAAAAGAATAAAATCCGCTTTTTTCGGTTTTCTACTTGTGTTCTCTTTCCGAATGGAAAAAAATAGATAGACCAACAAGTGTTTTTTTCTGTTTTGTTCAGTTTTCGACACATCGACATATTCAATTGTTACAAGAAAAAAAAAATGAATTCAAGAATTTGATTAAATGAACACAATGTTTTATTTTCATTTTCATTCTTTTTTTTTTTTTTGATTGTTTCGATATTTTGTTTGACATTTATTTATTCACATACAGAAATCAATTACGTCAATGACGATGATGATGATGATGACACTGTGAAATTTTTTCTATTTATTTACTGTTGTTGTTGTTGTTGTTGTTGATATTTACGATAACGGTGACAGACAAAATCATTTTTCGTTCATTCTCATTCATTCATTCACTTACATTCTCTGAATGGGTGGATTTTCATTATATATAGAAATGTGTGTTCAAATGAAATGGAAAAATTTACAAATGTTGCAAACGAGCAAAATTTTTTTTTATTTTCTTGACGAGAAATATTCTAAATTTTATCACTCGGATTTTATTATTATTATCAAGACCGACGACCGAATCATTATTATTACCGATGAAATCGTAGTATAATAATAATTATATAATGAAAAAGTTTCTACTGCATACCTATTATTCATTTACATTTATTCATCAAAATGAATGCAATGTAAAGAATCAATGAAAATTTTCATCACATCATAGTACCGGATATGCCATTTGTGACTGATGATGATGATGATGATTCGTTTGATTAATGATTTGGTTCTACTAAAGAATCTCAAAATAGAAAGCAAAGAGAGAGAGAGAGAAAAGAAAGATTCATTAAGGCAATTATGAATTTTATCTTTCATCATTTTCATTACACACACACACACAAAAACAAAGACATAAACAAAAGAAAAAAAACTGTCAAACAATGGATGTCGGAATATTTGTTTTGTTTCCATCATCATCATCATCATCAAAAATAGTCATTTCAATTTTGAAAACAAACAAATGCAGCAACACAGCAACAACAACAACAAGAAGAAGAAAAAAAATTCAATTCCATGTCATATGATGATGATGTTTGTTGATGGAATTTACATGTCGTTATTTTGTATTTTCATAATGATGATGAATGTTGAATCAAAAAAAAAAAAAAACAGAGACAAACAAACAGACAAACAGAGCAAAAAAAAAACTAAAGATTTTTTCTCGTTGATTAGCAGTAAATATACAACAATCATGATCATCATCATCATCATCATCATAATCTTGATGATTTTTTTAAATATAAATCCTGTTATTCATATTTTTTTTCCATTCGATAAATAATGATGATGATGATGATGTTCTCTCTGTGTGTGTGTGACGTATTTGCAAAAAAGAATTTGCCTGTCAATTTGATCTTTTTTTCTCGTGAAAAAAAAAATTGAATTAGATGCTTATTTTACATATACAAATCAATACATTTCAATTTTCAAAATTTCAAATAAAAAAAAAAAAACACAGACATCATCTTAATCCATGTTGTTTGTTTGTTTGTTTCTGTTTCTGTCTGTTGAATACCGAAAAAAGATCTCGCTAATTTGTCATAAATAAATGTCAAATTCAACGAGATGAAAAAAAAAAAAAATTTTTTCATCACAATTTTACTGGCAACAATAACGCCATCTATCGCAGTGGTTAGGAACAAACTTGCAAAAAAAAAAATCAATACACACACACACACACACACACATACCTCATCACAATATGAACAACGTGGTAATAATGAATCCATATAATGTCGTTCACAATATGGTCGATTATTACGTGAACAATAAATATTATATGCTAATTGTTCATCACAATAATAACAACGAAAACAATTCGGATGGAATGTATTGGTCTGTTGTGATGATCCATCATCATCATCATCATCATCAGTGGCACCATTGTCATCGATACGTTCACAATAAATGGCCAGATTATTCATATGGATTGTTTGACAACAATATGCACAAATCTATGTTATGATCAGTGTAAAAAAAGAGAATTATTTCACACACACACACAACAACAACAACAACAACAAAAACTAGTGAGACTAACCTGATTCATTGTAGTGATCGTTTTACATTGGCCAATATCCAATGCATATTTATCACGATCTAACATTAATAATTCAAGTAGACGAATTTTTCTTTTATCATCAATGGTTGTCGATAGTAAATGTTGACAATTTTCAACAGTAGTATCACAACGTGGAAATTGTCGTTGAAATAATTGTTTCCAATATGATACACCTTCACTAAAACAAATGTCGATTTTTTCATCGATTGGTACCAGTATTGGTCGTTGATTTTCAGGAAACATTGCGAAATATTCATCAATCTAGAAAAAACCAAACAGAAAAAACAAATTTCCAATTCAAACTCAGGCACACACACACACACACACACATACATCACATACCATTATTTCATTTGTAACACCTGCTGGAATCCAATCATAACGTTGCTGTTGCTGCTGCTGCACTTGTTGTATCGTTTGATAATCGAAAATTATCGATGACATTATTTCAAAATTGTGGAAAAACAAAACAAAACAAAAAAAAATTTTCGCTATCCACTTATATAAAGCATCATCAATTGTTGTTGTTTTTTTTTAAAAAAGATAACCAAATTCCTACGTGTGTGTGTGTGTGTGATCAGAGAACAGAAAAAAATCGATTGATTTATTGATCAATTTTTATTGTTCCGTGCGTATATTTGAAACAACATCATGTAAATCGATAAAGAAAAAAAAATTAACAATGACTACGACCACGGTATGACAATATTATCGTATTACAGTAAGAAAAAAAAAACCTAATGAAATGTGACAATTTTAAAAAACACTGACAATCACACATTAGAGTTGCTGTATTGCTTTTATTTTTCACTTGAAATAAAGCCAGATTAAATTAAGTAATACGAAGAATTCATTTCAAATGCTAATGATATGACAGTGGATGATGATCATGATGATTTTCTTCTTGGCAACCTAATTACACTACTAAATTAAAGTATTAATTCCGCATTTTAAGTTTAACACATCACACACACACACACACACAATGAAGAAATGGTTGTGAAAAAAAAAAAAAATCATTTTACAACACAGAGAAAAATAAAACTTTTTTTTTTATTTTTTTTTTTTTTTTTGGCACAGCATGATTCAAGCACATGAAAAAAACATACGACGATGATGATGATTATTTTGTTACTGAATGATGATGATGATGATGATGATTTTGGGTATTTTTGAACATTTTAAAAATTTGAATCAAAACAAGAGATAGAGACAGAGAGAGAGAGAGAGAATCAATGGAATGATTTCTTTTTTTTTGTTTGACGATGTTTGTCTTATTCACGAATCCAAGTGTGTGTGTGTGGTGGTGATTTATGACCAAAAACAAAAACAAAAATCATCAAAGAAAGCAACCAATGTGTTTATTATTATTGGAATTGCGTGAATTTTGGTTTTCTCTCTCTCTCTCTCTTTCTTGCTCGCTCGCAATTTCATTTGATACTTTGAATTGTAGAAAATATTCTATGATGGTAAATAATTTAGTTCACAACGATGACAACACAAACACAAATGACTGATTGGTGGCAAGAATTTGCCTAATTTTAATATTCTATACTTATTCTTCAAACAAACAAAAAAAGGAGAAAAAAAAACAAATTATTGTTTATCATGAATAAACAATATAATAATAACGGTTGTATAAAAAACAGTGTGTGAAAACAATTTTTTTCAATCATAATAATAATGATGATGATGATGATGGTAAACAATGGAAATTGTTCGTATTCAAATAAGCCATATGTGTATTGTGTTGAGAGTATAGGACCATATGTGTGAAATTTTTGATTGTTTTCCATTGCAATGCTGAAATTGTACATGGCCGTAATCATCATCATCATCATCATCATCATGATGATCTCAATATGGACGAAAAATCATTCGATGACCGGATATATAATGTCCATTTATAATCAGAAAAAAAAAATTGTTTGTATGATAATAGTTTATGTTTTTGCACAACTGATGAAACTGATGATTTTTTTTTCACAATTTCTAACTTCATTTTGATATATCTATCGATATCAATCATCTCAATCAAAATGGATGATCTGTTTTCAATGTTTTCAATGTTTTACATTCATTTTATCCAATATTGAATGTGTGTGTGTGTGTTGATGTTTATGTATGGAATTTAATGATCAAAATTAATTAATTATATGTCCCAATCATCATTTGCATAGTTTTAAACATCAAAATCATTAACCCAAAAAAAATAAATTTGAAAAAAAAATTACAAAACCACGTCTACCATCTATGAGACAAACAAAGAAAAAAAATGTAACGTTTTTAATTGTTCCGACAACAGATGGCGTTGTCAATTCTTTTATTTTATTGTTGAAAATGGAAAAAAAAATCTGAAAAAAAAACAGAATGAATGGATCCATATCACGCTATCGGATCATTTTTTTAAAAACAACACAATCATCAATTGTTCTGTTCTGTTATGTTTCGTTTTATTTTTGGCTTTGTATTCACAATCGAGAAATAAAAAGAAAAAAAATGTTTGCAACAAAGCAAATGGCAACAATTCAATATTGTTCAATCTATGTAATTTTCATTGATATTTTCAAAAAGATAAACTTTTCAATAGATTTGTAATCCAGAAAAAAATAAAATGAATAGATTTAATCTTTCTGAATACTCCATCATCATCATCATTATTATTATTATGGCCGGTCAATTAGAGAGAGAGAGAGAACGAAAGGTGGGCAATCAATTTTTTTTTTTTGCTTTCAAAATTTAACGATTGTCATGAAATATATGGTGGTTGTGGTGGTGGACAAATTATAATAAAGAAGACCGATCATCTTTGGCTGATAATAATAATAACGATGATGATGATGATGATGATGATGATGACCAAAACATATAACAACCACCATTTTGATTATCAAATATTCCAGGTGTACGATCATTTTTTTTTTTTTTTTTATTTTTACTTTGAACCAATTTTTTTTTACTGTTTTTAATATCTCGAGGTTATCATCATCATCATGGTTTTTGACGTGTTTTTCTTGGTTACTGCTGCTGATTTTGACAGCTTCAAAATCATTAGAATATGGTTAGCATATCATACAATGATGTTCTGAATTTTTATTTCATTTCATTTTATTTCATTTCATTTTCATCATCATCATCATCATCATCATCATCATCATCATCATAAAACTTTACCGACGTGGATAGATGGTGGAAAAATTTCCATTTTGGTTGCATGGTATGTGGCCCCTGTATGTTATGGTTATGGCCATATATGCACGATATACATATATGATATATGTCAAGATTTTTTCCATTTTTTTTATTCCACAAATGAATTATGGGTACGTTTTTTTTTTTTCCCAGAATTTTCAAATAAACATTTCATTTCATTTTATTATCCTTTTTTTTTGCTCTGGATTCATGGTGGATTGGAATTTTGTTTTTTTTTTTAGCTTTAATGGCTTAAACCGAATATATATAAGAAACATGAAATGAAATAAAATTGAAAATAATAAACCATATTTCTCCATCATCACTGTATGTCATTGAATAATGTTTTTTTTGGGATCCACTACACTACACTATTATTCAATGGACCGGTCGTAAAAAAAATGACAAGATCATCATCATCATCATCATCATCATAATCATCATATTGTGTGGCCAATGAAGAGAAAAACATTTTGTCAATCGTAAATCAATGTTTGTTTGTTTGTTTTTTTTCAATATTTGTACAAAAAAGGAATAAAAATGTCATTTTTTTCTGGTTAAAAATTTGAAAATTTCTTTTTTTTTCACCATTGAAATCAAGGGAAAAACAAATCATATCGGATATGATGATGAAGAGAAAAATTCTGACGAAAACAAAAATACAAAAATTAAATTGCAATGCCAATGGATTTGGATTCATTATTGTAATTACATATATTCGGTTTTCATGCGATTCTTTTGAATGTGACCAGTACATAATGGGCAACGCCTGATAATTGGAATGATTTGTCGCAATCATCATCATTATTATTGCATGTCAATGTCCACATTTCTATCCATAAATATTATATACTGGTTGTCTTGTATAGCAAATGTTTATAGGTAAAACACACTTGCACACAAACACTAATTTTATTTGCTTTAATGGTGCCAAAAATTTTTTTAAAATGGCCGGATATTGATTGATTGATTGATTTTTCGTTTCTCACTCTTTATTTTTTAACTAGTCAACTGAAAAAAAAACACTGTTCACATGCACACATATTTATCCGGTGGATTTCAACTTTTTTTTTTGTTCATTTCAATCATTGATTGATTAAGTGCTATTTTGATCTGTGTGTGTGTGTGTGTGAAAAGAGAGAAAAAAAATGAAAATAGATTACATCCATCCATCTGTGTGTGTGTACGTGTGATGTGTGAATATTCATTTTTTCAAGAAAAACATACACAAACACATACAAGAAATCTGCATTGCTTGCGGGAAATAATGATGATGATGATGATGAATTTCAAAATTTCAAAAAAAACCGAATGGGATAAATTGTAAAAAGTGGGCCTATAATAATGTGTGTGTGTGTGAGTAGAAAATGATTGCAACTCATCATCATCATAATATGCGAAAAAAATGGATATAAAAAGATTAACACCGAAAAAAAAGAGAGTATGAATGAGTTGTTGTTGCCTATCATTGATGAAATTTACACCTTTGTTCATTTTCTTCTTTTTCGTGGCAGTGGTGGTGTTGGTGGTGTTGATTCAATACAAACATTCGATTACGTATTGTCAGGTATTCATTATTATTATTGTCGATCGTGATTCTTTTTTTTTTGTCATTGAAATTCCCATTATAGAAAAAGAAGAGTTTTCATTATTCATCATCATCATCATCATCAAAACAAAACTCGATGATGTTGATCACGATGTAAATGATAAATTTGATTTTTCACATTCTCTCGATAATTGGGCGATAATAATTTTCTTTTTTCTCGTTATAATTGGACAATTGTTTCGGTTTACTTTTCAAAAATTTTTTTTTTTTTTAATCATCATCATCATCAATAATTATCATTTTTTTCTTCACAGTGCAGTTTTTTGTTTTGGTTTTCATTGGTGTTGTGTATTGTTGAATAAAAAACAGGCTAAAAAACAATGAAATCTGAAACTATATGTATGTAGAGAGATGAATGAATCAAATTACTTGAAACAAGGTGAACAAGTCAACACCTGGACCTGATGGATTGACGTGATGGCCAGTTTGGCAATTTTTTTTTTAGCCACCATCAGAGAGACCTCACACACAACAACAACAACACATACGGTAACATGGAAAATTGATGAACATATAATAACTCGATTTTCATCAAATAACTAGCCATTATATATAAAATATAATTTTCTTCATTTTTCATTTTCTTTCTTTAATTTCATCAAACCATCATTATCATCATTGCCATTTGGTTTGGTTGTATTTTTTTTTTATTCAAGCCAGAAGCCATATTTATTTTACAACAACAACAACAAC